TTATAGTGAGTGGTGAATACATTTACTGTAGGAGTCTGAATAAATGAAGAATGGGTATAATTGAAAACTGATGCATTAGTGAAATGCCCTTAAGTGAAGCATTGTAAAGTGGGACCCACCAGAACATAGGCACTTACAGATTGAAAACTGAATTACTCTGTTAGTTAGCAGAATGTCGTCCTAACATCTGCAAGCTTAGTATGCACTACTAATCTTGGTTTAAAAGGACATGTGAGCAAACACTAGGTCATATTTATCAGAAAACATTTTGGTCTTGGGTTAGAAGTGATCAAGGTCCCAGGACCGAAACATTTTCTAATAAACATGTAATAGTGTTTGCTCATGTCTTTTTTAAAATACTTTGTTGGTATTAATTACTAATGTTATTGTGTGTGTGTGTTTCAATATTTAGAGTAATGGTTACTTCTAGGTTGTTTTTCTTGACAGTTAGAATTTTGTTTGCCTCCAAGTGACACTGTTTCTGATCTCTTTTTTTATTCTTCCCAGTTTAATAATGGAACACTGTATGGTATAATAATGAAACACTGCATGCAAAAATGAAACAGTGTACATAGTACAATAATGAGAGACTGCATGGTACAATAATGAAACACAACAAGGTATAATAATGTGAGTGTGCACAGAATAACAAAAATCCTGTTTTATGTAGTGCATGATGGGGAAAAGCAAACCCCTGACCTTGTGTTTGGTTAAGACATTGGCCTTGAGGGGTTTTCTAAGGCGATTTTTTTTTATTTTATTGACCGTTTCTTGGTATCAACAGAATGAAAGACATACTAGTGCAACAGAGATGATTTTGGTTGGTTTCAGGACTGGAAGTAAAGTAGCTTGAATTAGGGCTCAAAGTAGCAAAAATATTAGATTTTGGGGGATTTTCAAAGTCTGTTTTTTATTTTTTTCACTAAGTCTACTTCAGTTACTGGGAGGGCCTAAACCATGACCAATCATTCTTGGTTATATTTTATCATCCAAAACACGGTAAAACTTCAAATTCTGTGATGCTGGATTAAAAATAGAGGGCAAGTGTTATATAGGAAAGGTCTGGAGACATGATTACTGAACAAAGGATAGGTTGCTTTAGTGGACTGTATTTAACCCCTTGACTGTCGCAACCCCCAATCCTGAGGTGTCTCCTGGTGTCGCAAAATTAAAAAAAAAAAAAAAAAAAAAAAAAAATTCTTATGAAATGATAGAGAATCTTTTCCCGATTGTAATGACACCAAAAAACGAAATTTGATGGAAAACTGATGGAATTATGCTCTCGCGAAGTTAACGACCTCGGCGATATTTACAAATCTGCGATTTCGCCCACTTTGAGCCCTATTTTCGGCTAATTCCGTTGTTCCAGTCGACCAAACTCATAGCTATTTCTTTAGAACTCCATTTTTTCTATCGATTAAGTACAAGAAACTGCCTATTTACCGATTTCAACTACCCAATAATGTGGTCAGAAATTTGCAATTTGGCCAATTTCACGAAAATTAAAAAATATGACAACTTAAAAATAAGGTCCAGAATGAACACTGCAGACATTCCTGGCTCTAAAATAACATTTTCTTTGTTCATCAGTCATGTCTCCAGGCCCTTCTGATATTACTCTTGCTTTCTATTTTGAATTTTTATTCAAACCAAAAATAGAAGACTTACTATTATGCAGACTACTGCAATACTGTAATAATTGTATAAATAACATCAACCCATTCATGACTGCATATTAGAATGGCTAGTTGGACATTTATTGGACAATGACATCATTTGTTTACTTTTGAACATTGGCAAAAATCAAACATTTCCCCTACTTTGAGCTCCATTTCCAGGTTCTTTTAAAAGTAAAATCAATCAAAATCACCACTATTTCTATAATATGTTTTCCATTCTATCAAATGAGACCAAGAAAACGAGAATACAGCCATAAATACTATACGAAATTGGACCACAAAGTCGGCAATTAAAAAAAAAAAAAAAAAAAAACGGTCAGTTTTTTTTTCTCATTATGCACTGCATGCTCCAGGATTTTTTTATATGGTGCACACTGACCACACAGACCCATTCTCTCACATGTGGGCCTACCAGCTTTCTCCTATTTGATTTGAAGCCGCTAGAATTTATGAGTATATATACGTCAAATACTGTACCTCGTAAGACGTATATATACGGCCGTGACAGTCAAAGGGTTAAAATGGAATTTGTTGAATTTAGTGTAAAATTGACCAAATTTAATAGGGCTGTTTAAATAGCTGAATAGGCAGTTTCTTGTACTCAATTTAGAGAGGGGATGTTAGTGAAATAACTAGTATGGACAAACTGGGGAGTGGAATTGGCTTAAAATAGTAAGTTTTCTATCACATTTTGCATTTTCAATGTTATTACCTTCAGAGAAAGATTCTCTACCATTTCAGAAGTTTTTTGTTTAAACTGCAACACTGTCAGCACTTTTAATTTTAGGAGTCGCAACAATGAAAAGGTTAATGGCACTCTTGATTTTGGGAGTAAGAGGCTACAGCCATGCCATGAATCTTATGCATAATAAGTTTCCAAACATTCTTTATCGAATTTAAATGCAGTGAATTTTCTGGCCAGTCATTAAAGAATGGAAACATCAGAATAATTTAACAAATTCTTTATGTTTTTGGTGGTATGTTTAAAGGTACTGTCCTCCATACAAAAGTTGCTCCGTTACTTCTTGAAGCTGAACAAGCAAATACATAGTCTGTTCAAGACATACTTATTGGCGTGCATATTTACAATGCCTATGTTTATGACTGTTAGACAGTGACCATAAATAGGCACAATACTGATAGTAAGATATAAGAAATAAACTTGTGTAGGAGTGAACAAACACAGATACATAATCAATACATCAAAGTTAACTTAAAACAACAAATTTGATTTCTGAACTGGATAAAAAGTTAAATTTTGTTGGCTAGGGTAATGAAACACTACATGTTATATTAATGATGAAACACTGCACGCTAAAACTAAACACTACATGTTAAAACTAAGCACTACACATAAAAACTAAGCACTACATGTTAAAACTAAGCACTACACATAAAAACTAAGCACTACATGTTAAAACTAAGCACTACATGTTAAAACTAAGCACTACACATAAAAACTAAGCACTACATGTTAAAACTAAGCACTACACATAAAAACTAAGCACTACATGTTAAAACTAAACACTACATGCTAAAACTAAGCACTACACATAAAAACTAAGCACTACATGTTAAAACTAAGCACTACACATAAAAACTAAGCACTACATGTTAAAACTAAGCACTACACATAAAAACTAAGCACTACATGTTAAAACTAAACACTACATGCTAAAACTAAGCACTACACATAAAAACTAAGCACTACATGTTAAAACTAAGCACTACACATAAAAACTAAGCACTACATGTTAAAACTAAGCACTACACATAAAAACTAAGCACTACATGTTAAAACTAAGCACTACATGTAAAAACTAAGCACTACATGTTAAAACTAAACACTACATGTTAAAACTAAGCACTACATGTTAAAACTAAACACTACATGCTAAAACTAAACACTACATGTTAAAACTAAGCACTACATGTAAAAACTAAACACTACATGTAAAAACTAAGCACTACATGTAAAAACTAAACACTACATGTAAAAACTAAACAGTACATGTTAAAACTAAACACTACATGTAAAAACTAAACAGTACATGTTAAAACTAAACACTACATGTAAAAACTAAACACTACATGTAAAAACTAAGCACTACATGTAAAAACTAAACACTACATGTAAAACCTAAACACTACATGCTAAAACTAAGCACTACATGTTATAACTAAACACTACATGTTATAACTAAACACAACATGTTATAACTAAACACTACTTATTATAACTAAACACTACATGTTATAACTAAGCACTACATGTTATAACTAAACACTACATGTTATAACTAAGCACTACATGTTATAACTAAACACTACTTGTTATAACTAAGCACTACATGTTATAACTAAACACTACATGTTATAACTAAACACTACATGTTATAACTAAACACTACATGTTATAACTAAACACTACATGTTATAACTAAACACTACTTGTTATAACTAAACACTACATGTTATAACTAAACACTACATGCCATAAATAAACACTACATATTCAAACTAAACACTGCATGTTATAAACAAACACTACATGACATATTTATTTATTTATATATTGGCAGTTTGGAGGGATATGTTGTGTATCTTTATATGTGTATGCTTCTAAACTGTTGTATTCTGAGCACCTCTGCAAAAACAGTGATAATGTGTGAGTGTGGTGAAAGTGTTGAATGATGATGAAAGTATTTTCTTTTTGGGGATTTTCTTTCTTTTTTGGGTCACCCTGCCTCGGTGGGAGACTGCCGACTTGTTGAAAAAAAAAAAATTATTTTATATCTTTGCAAACAGTACATTGAGATTTTGTATTTAAAATAGTGGGTTGCAATGCAAAGAGAGCATCTATTATATATACATAATACCAAAATACTACATGAAATAATTCAGCAAGTAATGGCAGCCCCAATATTTATTCTGGTTATTTGCCCGAGATATTTGTAAAGAATATTTCAAAGTTTATACATATTACTTACCTGTTGCCTCTGAGGACTGTCTGGTAGTAAGCATGTTAGTGTATGAACCATAAGGAATATACCAAAAGGGATATACCACATGAAATATGTAAAAAGGAATATACCACATGGAATATACAAGAAATATACCAGAAGGAATATATTGCAAGGCACATATAGCACAAGGCATATAGCACAAGGCATATAGCACCAGGAATATAGCAAACTTTATACTGTACAAATAGGCTATCTGTCACCCCACAAGAGCTTGTGGAAGTGAGTACATACTTCAATGTATGAACCAAAAGGAATATCTCAGAAATTTATGTACATATATACAAAGACTGTTTACCTGTCGTCCCAGAGGAGCTTGTGGTAGTGAACTTGTGAGTGCATGGACTACCTTAACTAGACAGCAGAAACAATCATACCAACAGTCCAGCTTGTTCAGCAATCTACGTATTGTAGCCTAGAAGAGGGGATTATTTTAAATTATAGTTTATATTGTATTAGTAAAAATGCAACAAAATAATTGTTTTACATGATGGTAGGATTGCTGGTGTCTTTTGTCTGTCTCATAAATATGCAAGATTACAGATACGTCTTACTACTTCTACTTACACTTTGGTCACACTACACATACATGTACATGTTTATTTATACACACTCATCTGAGTTTTCTTTGATTTTATCTTAATAGTTCTTGGTCTTATTACTTTTCCTTTTATATCCATGGGGAAGTGGAATAAGAATCTTTCCTCTGTAAGCCATGCGTGTTGTAAAAGTCAACTAAAATGCCGGGAACAATGGGCTAGTAACACCTTTTCCTGTAATAATTACTAAAAAGAATAATAATAAGAAAATTGTCAAAGTGGGAAGTCTGAATGTGCGTGGATGTTGTGCAAATGATAAGAAAGAGATGATTGTGGATGTTATGAATGAGAAGAAGCTGGATGTCCTGGCTTTAAGTGAAACAAAGCTGAAGGGGTGGGAGAGTTTCAGTGGAGAGGAATAAATGGGATTAGGTCAGGGGTTCCAAAGAGAGTTAGAGCTAAAGAAGGAGTAGCAATAATGTTGAAGGATAAGATATGGCAGGAAAAGAGGAACTATATATGTATTAATTAAAGGATTATGTGGAGTAAAATAAAGGTTGGATGTGAAAAGTGGGTTATAGTAAGTTTATATGCACCTGGAGAAGAGAGAAGTGTAGAGGAGAGAGAGAGATTTTGGGAAATGTTGAGTGAATGCGTGGGGAGTTTTGAACCAAGTGTGAGAGTAATGATGCCAGGGGTAAATGTAAATGGGGAGCCCTTAATTGAGCTATGTGTAGAAAGAGATTTGGTAATAAGTAATACATATTTTATGAAAAAGAGGATAAATAAATATACAAGGTATGATGTAGCATGTAATGAAAGTAGTTTATTAGATTATGTATTGGTGGATAAAAGGTTGATGGGTAGGCTCCAGGATGTACATGTTTATAGAGGGGCAACTGATATATCGGATAATTATTTAGTTGTAGCTACAGTTAGAGTAAGAGGTAGATGGGAAAAGAGGAAGGTGGCAACAACAAGTAAGAGGGAGGTGAAAGTGTATAAACTAAGGGAGGAGTAAGTTCGGGTGAGATATAAGTGACTATTGGCAGAAAGGTGGGCTACTGCAAAGATGAGTAGTGGGGGGGGGGGTTGAAGAGGGTTGGAATAGATTTAAAAATGCAGTAATAGAATGTGGGGCAGAAGTTTGTGGTTATAGGAGGGTGGGGGCAGGAGGAAAGTGGAGTGATTGGTGGAATGATGAAGTAAAGGGTGTGATAAAAGAGAAAAAGGTAGCTTATGAGAGGTTTTTACAAAGCAGAAGTGTTATAAGAAGAGCAGAGTATATGGAGAGTAAAAGAAAGGTAAAGAGAGTGGTGAGAGAGTGCACAAGGAGAGCAGATGATAGAGTGGGAGAGGCACTGTCAAGAAATTTTAATGAAAATAAGAAAAAATTTTGGAGTGAATTAAACAAGTTAAGAAAGCCTAGGGAAAGTATGGATTTGTCAGTTAAAAACAGAGTAGGGGAGTTAGTAGATGGGGAGATGGAGGTATTAGGTAGATGGCAAGAATATTTTGAGGAACTTTTAAATGTTAAGGAAGAAACAGAGGCAGTAATTTCATGCACTGGTCAGGGAGGTATACCATCTTTTAGGAGTAAAGAAGAGCAGAATGTAAGTGTGGGAGAGGTACGTGAGGCATTACGTAAAATGAAAGGGGGTAAAGCAGCTGGAACTGATGGGATCATGACAGAAATGTTAAAAGCAGGGGGGGATATAGTGTTGGAGTGGTTGGCACTTTTGTTTAATAAATGTATGAAAGAGGGGAAGGTACCTAGGGATTGGCAGAGAGCATGTATAGTCCCTTTATATAAAGGGAAAGTGGACAAAAGAGACTAAAAATTATAGAGGAATAAGTTTACTGAGTATACCAGGAAAAGTGTATTGTAGGGTTATAATTGAAAGAATTAGAGGTAAGACAGAATGTAGGATTGTGGATGAGCAAGGTTGTTTCAGAGTGGGTAGGAGATGTGTAGATCAAGTGTTTGCATTGAAGCATATATGTGAACAGTATTTAGATAAAGGTAGTGAAGTTTTTATTGCATTTATGGATTTAGAAAAGGCATATGATAGAGTGGATAGAGGAGCAATGTGGCAGATGTTGCAAGTATATGGAATAGGTGGTAAGTTATTAAATGCTGTAAAGAGTTTTTATGAGGATAGTGAGGCTCAGGTTAGGGTGTGTAGAAGAGAGGGAGACTACTTCCCGGTAAAAGTAGGTCTTAGACAGGGATGTGTAATGTCACCATGGTTGTTTAATATATTTATAGATGGGGTTGTAAAGGAAGTATATGCTAGGGTGCTCGGGAGAGGGGTGGGATTAAATTTTGGGGAATCAAATTCAAAATGGGAATTGACACAGTTACTTTTTGCTGATGATACTGTGCTTATGGGAGATTCTAAAGAAAAATTGCAAAGGTTAGTGGATGAGTTTGGGAATGTGTGTAAAGGTAGAAAATTGAAAGTGAACATAGAAAAGAGTAAGGTGATGAGGGTGTCAAATGATTTAGATAAAAAAAATTGGATATCAAATTGGGGAGGAGGAGTATGGAAGAAGTGAATGTTTTCAGATACTTGGGAGTTGATGTGTCGGCGGATGGATTTATGAAGGATGAGGTTAATCATAGAACTGATGAGGGAAAAAAGGTGAGTGGTGCGTTGAGGTATATCTATGGAGGCAAAGAAGGGAATGTATGAAAGTATAGTAGTACCAACACTCTTATATGGATGTGAAGCTTGGGTGGTAAATGCAGCAGCAAGGAGACAGTTGGAGGCAGTGGAGATGTCCTGTCTAAGGGCAATGTGTGGTGTAAATATTATGCAGAAAATTCGGAGTGTGGAAATTAGGAGAAGGTGTGAAGTTAATAAAAGCATTATTCAGAGGGCAGAAGAGGGGTTGTTGAGGTGGTTTGGTCATTTAGAGAGAATGGATCAAAGTAGAATGACATGGAAAGCATATAAATCTATAGGGGAAGGAAAGAGGGGTAGGGGTCGTCCTCGAAAGGGTTGGAGAGAGGGGTAAAGGAGGTTTTGTGGGCGAGGGGCTTGGACTTCCAGCAAGCGTGCATGAGCGTGTTAGATAGGAGTGAATGGAGACGAATAATACTTGGGACCTGACGATCTGTTGGAGTGTGAGCAGGGTAATATTTAGTGAAGGGATTCAGGGAAACCGGTTATTTTCATATAGTCGGACTTGAGTCCTGGAAATGGGAAGTACAATACCTGCACTTTAAAGGAGGGGTTTGGGATATTGGCAGTTTGGAGGGATATGTTGTGTATCTTTATACGTATATGCTTCTAAACTGTTGTATTCTGAGCACCTCTGCAAAAACAGTGATAATGTGTGAGTGTGGTGAAAGTGTTGAATGATCATGAAAGTATTTTCTTTTTGGGGATTTTCTTTCTTTTTTGGGTCACACTGCCTCGGTGGGAGACGGCCGACTTGTTGAAAAAATATATATATATATATAATATATATATATATATATATATATATATACATACATACATTTTTTTTATTAGTATTAACACACTGGCCAATTCCCACCAAGGCAGGGTGGCCTGAAAAAGAAAAACTTTCACCATCATTCACTCCATCACTTTCTTGCCAGAAGGGTGCTTTACACTACAGTTTTTAAACTGCAACATTAACACCCCTCCTTCAGAGTGGAGGTACTGTACTTCCCATCTCCAGGACTCAAGTCCGGCCTGCCGGTTTTCCTGAATCCCTTCATAAATATTACTTTGCTCACACTCCAACAGCACGTCATGTATTAAAAACCACTTGTCTCCATTCACTCCTATCAAACATGCTCACGCATGCCCGCTGGAAGTCCAAGCCCCTCGCACACAAAACCTCTTTTACCCCCTCCCTCCAACCTTTCCTAGGCCGACCCCTACCCCGCCTTCCTTCCACTACAGACTGATACACTCTTGAAGTCATTCTGTTTCGCTCCATTCTCTCTACATGTCCGAACCACCTCAACAACCCTTCCTCAGCCCTCTGGACAACAGTTTTGGCAATCCCGCACTTTCTCCTAACTTCCAAACTACGAATTCTCTGCATTATATTCACACCACACATTGCCCTCAGACATGACATTGCCATTGCCTCCAGCCTTCTCCTCGCTGCAACATTCATCACCCATGCTTCACACCCATACAGGAGCGTTGGTAAAACTATACTCTCATACATTCCCCTCTTTCCTTCCAAGGACAAAGTTCTTTGTCTCCACAGACTCCTAAGTGCACCGCTCACCCTTTTCCCCTCATCAATTCTATGATTCACCTCATCTTTCATATACCCATCCGCTGACATGTCCACTCCCAAATATCTGAATACATTCACCTCCTCCATACTCTCTCCCTCAAATCTGATATCCAATCTTTCATCACCTAATCTTTTTGTTATCCTCATAACTTACTCTTTCCTGTATTCACTTTCAATTTTCTTCTTTTACACACCCTACCAAATTCATCCACCAACCTCTGCAACTTCTCTTCAGAATCACCCAAGAGCACAGTGTCATCAGCAAAGAGCAACTGTGACAACTCCCACTTTATGTGTGATTCTTTATCTTTTAACTCAACGCCTCTTGCCAAGACCCTCGCATTTACTTCTCTTACAATTCCATCTATAAATATATTGAACCACGGTGACATCACACATCCTTGTGTAAGGCCTACTTTTACTGGGAAATAATCTCCCTCTTTCCTACATACTCTAACTTGAGCCTCACTATCCTCGTAAAAGCTCTTCACTGCTTTCAGTAACCTACCTCCTATACCATACATCTGCAACATCTGCCACATTGCCCCCCTATCCACCCTGTCATACGCCTTTTCCAAATCCATAAATGCCACAAAAACCTCTTTAG